TCAGAAGAAAAACTTGAGACTGAAATCAAACTGAGCAGAAACCTTTGGTTATTCCATTTCAGAAAAGTAACAAGAAGGGGAGAAACTGGAGAAGATGATCTAGAACAGGTTTTCTCTGGAACAGGTTGACCAGAGAAACTGTGGATGCCCCATCCCTTAAAGTGTTCAAGGTCAAATTGGATGGCATTGGGCACCCTGACCTAGTGGGCGGCATCCCTTCCAGTGGAGTTGATTATGAAATATTATGAAATATTTTTTGATATAAAATCTACAATCTACTACTCATTTTACTGGTGCGTTTAAAAAAAAAAAAAAAAGCTGACTATTTATTTTCTCTTATTTAATTGATGGCTATTATATATCATTCAGACTTGCCATAGGAGAATGAAGTAAATAATTGAGTATTTTCCCAACACCCTCCTCCCCCCCCCCCCCCCCAAAAAAAATCTGCACAATCAGAGTTAAAAACAAAACAAAACAAAACTGATATTCAATAAAATTTAGCCATACCTGGAGTGTTCCCTTAGAGCACAAATCCAAAGGTTTATTATGATTTTGCAATCACTTTCTCAGTTCTGAGCGTAATTAGGGATTAAATTGTGACTCCCAGATCAGAAAAGACAAAAAGGCATGAATGAAGACCATAAAATTAAATTTAGAATTTTATTTTGGGAATGCAAGAATATAGAAAATCCATAAAATATCTAAAGTATCTAATTGAATTGGGTCAAACCTATATAAATTCTGCTCATCTTGGAATTGTCCAGGAATTACTTGGACAATATCTTATTTACTTTCACCTGTTTGAGGTACCAATCTTTTTGGTACCTTACTCTCCTGACACTTTGGAAAAATAGTTAAGAATATTCTTGAGGTTTTTTTTGGAAATGTTGAATATCAGTATATAAGAATGTTGGGAGTATTCTTGGAAATAATTGATTTTAAGTATTCAAGATTCAGAAATTGTTGCCATTTGTAGGTTTGGTCTTTTCAAAACCTACCTATTGAAGTTCCTTCATGTTTGTTTAATGCTAATGATTAAGTTAATGTTAGCAAGTTTGGCTCTGGGTTTCCTAGCCTTATCTGTCTGTTTTCTTACTCCCTGGAGTTTTTTATTCTCTGATTTCTTCTTGACTGACACCATGTCTTTCATATTCTCCTTCTAAACTCTTGCAGTAACTTCTAAATCAAACAGAATAGTTTCAGTTGGAAGGCACCTCTGAAGACTCGAGACTACTTGCTCCATGGCAGCCGTCTTTTTTTTTATCCCTGATCTGCCTGAGCTGCAGTCCTCCATGTAGCTCATCCTGGATGTCTCCTCTAAGCATGTGGAGTAAAAGAACATGATAAGGAGTAGTAGGCATGGTTTCACCAAAGGGAAATCATCTTTAACCAGTCTGTTAACCTGGGTTATAACAGGCTGGGTAAATGAGGGGAAGAGCAGTGGATGTTGTCTACCTTGATTTCAACCAAGGCTTATGACACTGTATCCCGTAACATCCTCATAAAGCTCAAGAAGTATGGGTTAGATGAGCGGAGAGTGAGGTAGATGAGAGCTGGCTGAACTCAGAGGGTTGTGATCAATAGCACAGTCTAATTGGAGGCTTTAGCTAGTGGTGTTCCCTAGAAGTCGGTACTGGGTCAAGTCTTGTTCATCAGTGACCTGGATGAACATTTAGAGTGTACCCTCAGCAAGTTTGCTGATGATAGAAAACTGGTAGGACTGACTGTTACACCAGAAGGCTGTGCTGCCATTCCGAGAGACCTGTACAGGTTAGAGATGGGCAGAGAGGAACCTCATGAAGTTCACAAAGAGTTCTGCACCTATGGTTGAATAACCCCATGCCCTGGCCATTGGTATGCATGAGGAATACTTACAAAATCATCTTGCGGACAGTATGACTTGTTCCACTTGAAGATTTTCATTGGCTTTGCAACATACATAAGACACCATGTAGTTGGGCAACAGAGACCTGTTTTTAGTTTTCTTATTCTTTTGCATTCTTATTAACTTAGTATCAGGAAATAATATTAGGTGAAGAACTTCTTCAAGGATGTTCCTTTAAGTTGCTCACAACTTTTACAGTGCATGCGTACAGGTATATTTATAAATATGTAGCATAAGTCTGTTCCAAATATTCATAACACTGAGCTCAATAAATTAATGGAACTCGTTTTGTTGCATGTAAGATAATATGTTCTCTAGGATCACCTCTATAAGCAAAGATATTATATACAGCTGTATAATGGTCAGCAATGGAAGCAATAGGTATTTGCCCTATTGTTATGTGTTGTGGTGTGTTTTTTTTTGTTGATGTTGTTCTTGGGTGTTATATAGAGCTTTTTTCATTAAGTAAATACATGAAATCATCATACCAATATGTTTTTTATACTTCATAAGCCTAGGAAATTATATGAAGAAAGTAACTAAGCATATTCCTAGGCTTGTCTATCTTCAGAATAAATCTTTACCCACAGTATTTGAGAAGTTTAATTATTCCTTTTTTTCTTTTCTTTTTTTCCCCTGTGTGTTTATATATTCATCAAAACATTGTTTTAAATTTCCAATTTATAGGAAAAAAAAAGTGTGATGACAAACTTCTAACTTCATACTAATATCTGAATGTAAAGTATTTTGTGGATTATCAAGTCCATTACACTGCAAGCTAAAGTTCACATCAAAAGAATGCCAGATCTAGTGACCCAGAGCCACAATTATCCAACATTTTTATGCCATAGATATCTGTTAAATTGCATTCACATAGCTGACACTCATGTCACTTTATAGTCATCTTGCAGATCTGTAATTCCACTGATTTTAGCTATGTCTTCACCAAGTTGCTAACTCCTCTGAGTAGACTACCTCTGAATACATTGAACATTTTTATCTCTAGGTTTTCATGTGAAAACAGATGTGCAGGTAAATGCTTTAGATAAAATGCTGGACTGCTTCAATTGATAGAGTTTTGATAATAGTTTTATTTGGTCCAGAATTTAAGCTTGCAGATACATATTTTTCATCCAGGAACTAAGAAATATAAATTCTTGACTTCTTCATTCCGATTTTTTTAATAAGACAAGGAAAGGGGAAGAAAGAATGCTTGATTCACCTGATTTTCATTATCCTGTACTTGAGAATTTGATACCTGAGGTCTTTAAAATTAGAACCTGAGCACAAGAAACCTGAGAGGCAGCCTAAGAATCATGTTAAGTATTTTCCAAAGGAGAAAGGAAAGAAGATTTTAAGTCACAGAGAGTATGGTTTGGAAGTGTATTTTACCAAACCCTTAGCTGAGAAAGCAAAAATAGGTTTGGGAGTACCTCACTCAAGGTGAGATTATTCTGAGAAGCATCTTCTTCAAGTACTGAAGAGTGAAAAGTGAAAAGGGCTCCTTAAAAATATATTTTGGGCATGCAGCTTTCTGTCAGGACAGCTGACTTTCCCAGAGCAGCAGTTGTTTGGACTAATGATCTTCAAAGGAACATACAGAAAGTGGAAATCAAATCAAGTGTTGAGAAAAAGGTCCTAAGCAGCTGCTTTTGTTGCCAAAAGCTCCCTCGATTGCATCACATGCTTAGCTCAAACCAGTCACACTGAACACAGTATCTCACTGATAATTATAGCTCTTTATCTAGAAAGATGGACAAGTCAAGTAGGGATGTTCATTGCCAGATTCCATGATGCAGAGCTAATTAGGACATGAGAGCGGTCACAGGGTCCAGTGAGAGATGAAGTACACCTGTACTCTTAGAAATTAGCTCAGAAAAATCTCAGACTTTCCAGGGAACTGAGTACTATTTAAGGGTAATCATCATTGCGAAAACATCTGGGAAGAGTGTTCCTTGCAGAGCAAATCCCTAGATTCAAAAGAAAGGATTACATGAGTAGAAGTTTTAAGTGCAAACCTAATGCATCACCCAGTTAAAAATAAATCTTTTTATATGGCTCCTTAACTCCTTTCTCCCTCTTCTTAAAAACCTTTCATGAACAGGAAGAACTGCTTTGTCAAGTACACACTCACTAAAGAAGTCCATCTAACCTAATATGTTCAATCCAGGGATGACCAAAATAGATAGCCAAAGAAGATAAGAACAGAAGGATTATATAACAATCCTCAAAAATATTTTCCTAACTTCTAGTCATTTCTAGCTAAGGCTTAAACCGTAACAGTTTCTGTTAGATGTCTTACTGCTATTGGATAAACTTTTCTTACATTGGTTTCTTGATAGCCTTTCCTGCAGGTTTTCTGGTATGTGGAGAAGTTGCAGCCCCCCCTCCCCCTGCCCCATTCTGGAATATAACTGAGCTGAAACAAAAGTACTGCAAACCAGGATTGAAGAATTATTTTTAGTATAGCACTATGTCCAAGTAAACAGGTGTAAGTGAAAACTAGAAAAAAATAAGATGTCTCCAAAAAAATCTTAGAAAGCACAGTCACCTTCAAAAAAAAAAAAAAAAAAAAAAAGAAAACAAAGGGTGTGTTATTATGACCTCCTTATCTAGCGCTCTCCTTTGCTTTTTAAGAATATTGGTACCTTTGTTACCTTTACAGAGATTCACGGCGTATTCAGAAAAGCTTTAGCAAAAGCAATCCAAATAATACAGGTTGTACAGATTAATAGAATTATGTAGAGTAGCATTGATTAGGTTGCTAGAAAAGTATCCATAATCAATATGTAGAAAAGAATAATGACACAGGTTTGTGTTAGGTTTTTTTGAATTTTTAACTTTGTAATATCCTCAGGAAATAAAGACTAGTTCATATAAATTAAATTCAGCTCTGATTTCTAAAGTAACGATTCTATGCACTAAATATTTAGGCTTAAAAATAGTGTTTTTGTTATTCTTTTATACAAAAATTTAATTTAAAACGTACTTTACAAAATTATAAAAAAGCTATTACATTTGATATAACTCCCCTCTCATCATGCATGTTTAGCTCTAACATAATTCTACCTCATTTTTTTCTCTCATTTATTGTCTTATACATGTTTCCCAGGATAGCCCACTGGTCTTACAGTCTGACAGAAATGTAACAGTGAATGCAAGAAATCACATGGGACAGTTAACTGGACAACTGACAGTAGGTGAGTGTTCTTTATTGACTGTTATGTGTATCAGTTTAGATTTATGAATAGTTTAATTAATATAGAAAATAAAACACTGAAAAGTCCGAAAAATTCTCTTCACTGTACTCCAAAAAAAGCCAAGACACACAGGATCCAAGACAGGGTCATAAGAGCATAATTCAGCAGTAGCTGAAGGCAGAGAAAACAGGAATGGCCCCAAGTAGTTAAAACATAGCTTAATGAAAAAAAAAAAATTACTTTTGAGACAGCTGTAACAAAACAAAAAAATAATCTGCAAAACCTGTTTCAACAATAATTTCAGGGGAAAATAACCATCATTTTCTTACAAGTTCTGTCAGTCTTCCATTATTTCAGTGGGAATTGGTCTTTCCCCAGTTACTCTTGTAATGTATTTAGATCAGCATATATTAAAAATCAGTTGGAGCTAACAGAATGTTAAAAACAAACAAACTCAAATACTTCTGTAGTCACCACAAACTTTAAATAGAAATTGATTGTACTGCCTGTCATTCATTAAAAGGTGTATGATATTTCACAAAATATTACCAAATCAACATTCCAAATGAAGTAGAGAAAAAAAAAAAAAAACTATTTCTTCACCTGTAGACTCTTTGTCTTGATTCTTCTTGTGTATTTGTTCCCATTGTTTATTACTTCTAACACATCGTAAGCATTTTTTATCACAAATCGTATTTACTGTGTTAGTGAATATGTATTACCGATGAAGTAATATTTTGTTTATATTTTGGCTACTATAATAGTAATGAAGATGTTTGTTGCTTTTCAAGAACACTGCCTGAAAAAAATGGTACAAAATAACGTTCTAGATTTGATAGAAAACAATGCATTTTGACTGGGAATGGGGTGAAATATAAACACATGTGAACAAATTTCAGAAGACAATCCCTTAGACTCCACATCTTTTCTTTTCACGTTACTTCTGGGTTAAACTCTGTTTATCCACTCTTTTTCCTAATGTGCTAAGGATATACTGACAAAATAGTTTTAAATTAAACTAGTTGTATTGACACTGAGATTTCATACTGGCTGGAGACTGTGGCTTCAAGTTGTAAAAAAAATCTTTGGCAACTGCACAAAGAGTGACACACCATCTGCACTGATTTTCCTGAATGAGCACATCAAATGAGTGTGCAAAGGTAACCAGAATTGCTAGCAGATACAGATGAGGAAGATTAAGCAAACACCTGTTCCAGCCATATTGCTCTTGCCTGTGTGTTTATGGAACACAGTTCAGTTTCATCTAGTAGCTGTAATATTAAAACCTTCCAATTCAGCTGCTAATTGTTAAAAAGGTGAGTTGTCTATGGTATACATTCACATTGGCTGATATATAAAAGATACTCTTATGGCTGGTACCATTCTTGCTAAGTAAATCTAACATTGAAAACATGAGTGTATCCAGACTGGCCTACTTATGATGTTGTACTAGAGGCTAATATTAAAAAAACACGAAGGCCTGAAGGAAATGTGTTCATATGTTACAGTCATTAGAATGAATACCTGTAAGCTTCTTAGTGAGTTTGTAGCTGGTGCAGTGTCTCCAGAGCAGGAGTTTGATAAATTGTAATATTGTATTTATGTTCTTTTTTTCATAATGCCTATATGGCCTTATATATATATATATATATATATATATATATATATATATATATATATATAATAAATTACATATATATATATAAATACTGATTTCTTTTATGTCAGTTCTTCATGGAATATTGAATGCATATTCAAATATATCTTATGTTGATACTTATAATTTAATATTTCTTAGTCTAGGCACTCTGAGTACAATCAGTGAAAGCCTGAACATTCTATTATTGGAAATCAAAGAAATTTATGGGCAGATAAAATTCAAAATGTTTTGTTCTTACATTCCCTTCCAAAAATATTTGTTGTGTAAGAAGACTAGAGATAGACAAAACTTTGATTTTTTTTTTTTGTCTAGGTAAAAGCATATGCTGAGAGAAGGCAAGGGAACTTGTCTATAACAGGTTTGCTGACATCAGAAAATATGTTAAAATGTTCTGGGAAGTCCCTGCCTTCTTCAGAACTGCTCTTTGTACTGATGCTGCATGTTGAATCAGCTCTTTGTGTGAAAGGGGTGAAAATAAACAGAGGAAGCAGCAGAGAGAAATATTTCAGCGCTATCAAACAAACCAACAACAACAACAACAAAAAGATGATCTAGTAAGCAACTTTGAAATGCTGCTGTGTTAATTTCTTTTAAAAAGTTGGAGTAATAAAAATTACAAGACAGCGTGCAAATTTATATGCATGGTAGGATCATTCTGAAAGGACACCTATGCATTCAGGTGGATAACAATGCACCTCCTATACATGTGATGTCATTGAAATTTTATATGTATTTCAACTGATATAAGTGATGTTACAAAGCAGTAAGTAGCCTATTCTCTTGTGTTTGAAGTTAAAATTGCTGGTCATATCAACTTTTAGGAAAATGAAAAATGTCTGTTGTATTTGGAATTGGGCGATGGAAGTTAAGTGAATGTAAAGCCTGGGCTGGGAGCAGTGAAGACGGAGAGGGAGTCACCACTATAGCAATGCTTTCAGTTGGGTTCTACACAGACTGAGTTAGAAATGCAGTTTTATCCTCAGGTCTTGTTGTGACATATGGTCAGGAAACTGCCAAGTTTGTATGTGGATCTCCAGGCATCAATTTTTAGACATGCCATTGAATACCAACAGACCAGATGTAGTACAGACAGAAAGGATATCTCCAGAATAAAGATTTAAAGATGATCATTCATTGATCTGTGTATCTAAGATAAGGAGAAATAATCAGACCTCCCAACCTTTCTTTAGGAAAACCCTCTGCATTATGCGTTCTACTAGGTTACCTTGACACAACCTTTTCACTCTGTTCAATCAATGTTTGCATAGTTTAAAGCAATATGAAAAAACATCTACTTATTTTCTGCCTGTCTTAGAAATGCAAAATAGTCATTCACATCAAACCAGAAACCTGTTATCTCCATAATGTCTGCACAAATCTTCTTCCTGTCTTTCAGTGAAGGACATAAGGTTGACAAGTGCTAAAGTGGATCAAAATTAAATATGGCTGAAAGGGGACATTTGAAGCTTACATGTGTACTCATTCTAGCTTCATCTTCAGATTTGATTATTATTCTGTCAACTTTTTTCTTTTTTTTGGTAAACTTTTCTTTTTCTGTAATAATTTCTTCTGACATGCATTTCTACTGTACTATGCTTTACTGTTTTCTATTCATAAAGATCCCTGGGGATATCTGAAACCTTTTTAGAGTATGATGAACAGATAAAGGCGCTCATCATTTTTGCTAAGCTGTGGTCTCTTTAAGACAGAATCATAATTCTCATGAGCTTCAGAGATGTGCAAGTCAGTTTTAGAAAGCTCCTGATCCAGCAGCTCTACTTATTGAAATTTCTACATCCACACAACTTGTGAAAAATATTTGATTACCAATGAATGTTATATCACACTTTTTAAGTTATTTTTTCAAAATAACAGGTGGATGTATAATTTTCAATAACCAACTGTGGTAATGATCATTAACAGTACTAAAAGATAAATCTTTTCAAAAAAATTGTCAAAGTTGATGACACTTTCCATCCATTTATCACAGAATTTGTGTTGTGTATTCAAGATTTCTTTTTCTTTAAAATGTCCTTGCTTGCTTGCTTTGTTCCACCAAGAGTACGTGGCATATTGGGGAGAAATAATTGGGCATTGAAAACAACAGGTGTGCAACCTCTTGGGTGTGGAAATCGTCCCTTTCATCATCTTTATCTAAAGGCCAAATCACCTGTGCCTTTATCTTACCTATTTCTTACCAGGTAGCACATCCCACTACCCCTTCAATTTCAAAGTATTTGAAATAACTCGATATCTGAGTATTGCCTGTGATGTTCACTTTGCAAACACCTCAATCCATTTGATGGTAGTTGTCTCTTGTCGTCAAAGATCTGAAACAAGAGAAAACATCTCAAGTATCTTGTTTTCAGAATAGCCTGTGGCAGAGGTTGTCTGACTATAATAATGCATGTGCACAATTGGTTCTAAATCTTAGGTGTATATTGTCAGACCTTTACTTAAGTTTATTATGAACTTTAACTAAGTGTCTATTAAGGCAGTTGAAGTAATAATGTGCTTAAGCAACAGTGGAAGGGGAATACTGCTTCTTTATTTTTTAATCTTGCTTGCATAGTTGGGAGCCTCAAATACAAGGTCTCCTCAACTAAGCATTGCAACAACAAAGTAGACTCAGAATGGTTCTACACATACAACCTTTTTCACAGCACAAAATTGAAATAAAAGGTCTCAACTGCTCTCTTTCTTATCTATGTTGTTGTTTTTATATCGGTGATGGTAGAGTGCTGAGGAGAAAAGGAGTGATGTTTTTCAAACTCTCATTAGCTGCATCTACATCTTAACTGGGCAAATAAGGATCAGAATTTGTGAAAAACATGTAAAATCAAGTCTTTTTCCTTTCCCTTAAAGGGAGGTTTGCCTACCTGTAGTCCTAAAACAAAAGTGAATTTTCAGAAATCTAAAATACCTTAAACTTTCCACTAGTAACATTTTCACATTAAAATAAATTTTCTGGTAACAACTGTGGTGCAGTAGGATTATGTATTAAGATGTATTACAGAAAAAAAAATTGGCAAAATGAGTTACCCATTTCTCAGGATTCTCTTAATTTATATTCCTTAACTAATATAGCATGGAAAAATATTTTGGTCTTTAAAGCTATTTTAAAAGGCAGAAATCGGGTTTGTAGCCAACCTTTTGCAGTGATGTACAAACAAGAATATTTGATACTGAACTTCAGACTGAATATGTAATAGTTTAAATTCTTCATTTTGGACATTGTATCATTACTCTTTGTAGTTGAAAAGGTTTTTAACTTTTAATTTTATTTTCTCTTCCTTTTCTAGTCCAAAAATAACCTGAACACAAAATCCGTAATTCATGC